CAATATTTTATCAGTATCATCATATGAGACTACATATTGTCTTCACTTTTGGATATTATAATGTGAGTGTTGTCTTTTCATAGTTTTAAAGGTTACATTACAGTAAAGTAATGTAATTTTCTGAACTTACCAGACTAGCTGTTTGATTATTTGAATTTGCCTACTTCGTCATTATATCCACATTACTGATAATTATTATTAATTATTCATCAAAAACCTATTTTGTGAAAGCACCAGTAGTAAACCCTACAATACCATTGCCATATCAATATTGAGGTATTCTGTAAAAAAAATATCATGATATTTACTCTGTATCGCCCAGCCCTTCACTGGACATATGACAAAAATGTAATATCTATAAATGTGTTCGTTATGTGTTTTTAATGGAGTAAAAAATGCTGTTGAAAACCTGCGGTTAGGCCAAATACTCTTTAAATCTGAGCGGCAGCAGGATAAATCACCCCATGGAGTCCAGACACTGGTGGAGGTGGTGGTGGCTGATGACTCTGAGGCTGATGGCTGCTGAGGCGTATGAGGCTGATGAATCCGTAAAGACTGGGTGGTGATGGGGAGGTGGACAGCACGCACAACGGCAGCAAGAAAGAACTATGGCAGAGAAAGAACCAGTCAATTGACCGATCCAGACAATGTCACTTAGAGACAGTGAGTGAGCATACATGCAAGGAGTGAATGGCAGCATGAGAAAGAAAACTTACAGCCTGAGCATGAAAAGTCGTCTCCCTGACTGAACTTTTGCTAGAGCTTCGTTTGAAGTATTTACACTTATTTACCATCTCATAGTGTTCACTTTTAGACCATGAATTGTTATTAAAAATGTATTGTGGTGCTGATGCTCTGTATTGCTGGGGGGGAAAAAAACAAAACAAAACAACATTTTATCATCAATGTTGGAGAGAAATCCTTATGCAACAAATATTTTTAGACTTGTTTGCGAAAATATCACCAAAGCGGTCCTTTATCCTTTGAATGCAGCCTAATTTTGTAGGTTTATTTTCAGATTTTCATTTAAAACACTTGACTATGACAGGCTACTGATCTCAGATGACAGTCCATTTTAATTAACTATGTTAATTTTGGAATTAACATTTGAAATGCATTTGGATGCACTTTAAATATTCTTAGGATCATTCTTTATATTTATATGTATTACCATCTTGCTGGTAAGTACATGCTAACTAAGACTCTGCCTTTCTATAGTGATAAGTGAATTTTTAAAGTTGTGTATGATCAGCCTCCTCATCACCTATTAGATCTTTTGATTAGTTAGAAACTGTTTTTTCAGAAAAGTCTCACCACAAAAATAATTGGAGCAAGTTTAATAACAAATAAAGCAAGTGCATTAATAAAGTAATTAATATTAATAAGTAGATTTACTTCTTGAAGCTTCTGTTCCTTATGCAGCCTCTGTGGAATCACATTTTCAGGTGGCGACTGCTGTTTGATATTGATCTGTGGAATCAATTTCAAAGTAGCACAGGGAAAAAATTACAATTACGTACCCAAATTAAATGTCACTTTAAAACAGGCAGGACTGCCTTTGGAATAACGTGTTATTTCCTGTGTGAATTTTCAATACAAAATCTATAAATGTTTAATATCTGGTGGGTTAAAGGAGCACTTTGACGCCACTTTCAGCGTTGAAAAAATGTGTTGAAACAGGAGCTCTGCGCTTGCACTTGACTGTTCTTTAACCCACCGTTCATTCTTATATAAATGCTCCTATAGGACCAATAGCAACCTACTGTATATAAGCAGAATCACAAACAATCTTCCCCCAGTTTTGGGCCACAGGCCAGTGGTACACATGAAACAAAACCCTGTAATCATCCTGTTAGTGGTGCCATTTAATATAATCCTCTCCTCTCTGTTGCTGGGTCAAAGGAGATGCTCCTGTGTCATCTCACGGCTCCCACCTACCCACATTACATTTAAGAATCCTGGAGGGAGTGGGATTAATGCAGACCTACAATCCAAAGCTTTGATATTACGGCACAGTTCAAAGGAGGTCATCTGCTTTGTAATCCCATGTATCGGGACCAAAATGTAATGAATTTAATGGTCTTACACACGGTGTGACTCACAATTGAAAAATATACTCTACTATGCTCAGCAGCTCACTCAACATTCTCTGCTGGCCCCTGTGAGCCCGTCATAAGCCCAGAAACTTGACCTACAGGTCACAGGTATGAGATTCATTTTCCCAAAAGCATTTTGAGTGCATTGGTGTCGCTCTGACGCACCGCAGAGAGAAATGGATCAGATGGAGGAAGGAAACCAGAGGCATGGAGAGATAGAGCCGTTTGATGATGTTCCTCCAGCTCAGTTTTGTCAATCAATGCGCTATTCTAAGTGCATATTGTGACTGTGAATAACGATTATTTTTGTCGATGAATCATTTTGTGAGAAAATAGTGATATTAGAATTTAAATGGATGTTTTTAACTGATCTGCAGTCCCATGGATATTTGGTTTATTATAAGTCTGTATGACATAGAGAAGCATGTGAACATATTTGAGAAGCTGGAGCAATAGAACTTTTAATTGATTATCAAGAGTTTCAGAATAGTGTTCCTGTCAAATGGCTATCGATTAATTGTCTCATGAGACTAATTTATTTGTGGAATCAAAGAGTGATTGAAGGGAAAAGTCTGTGTTTTTTCCTCCAGACTCACTTACGGTACGTGAAATATATTGTATGTGACTGTAACTTGATGGGTGTTCTTGGTGCTATTTAAGTCACACTATTATAACTCCCCACGTTTCACAGAGCATTTATACGTATATAAACAACACACTATTACACTCCAATATATATTGTAACCATTAAGCATCAATAACTGGTGCATTAAAGGTGCTGTGTGTAACTCTGGAGAACGATAGCTGATTCTTGACTCTCATTCCCAGGTTGTCAAATACCGACGCTTTGGGATGATTGTTCAGTCCGACTACCAGCCCAAAGCATCGACATTTGACGACCTGGAAAGGAGACTTAACAAACTTTCTCCAGAGATACGTATAGCACCTTTAAAAGTTAATTAATGATTGACAGTATGACATAATACACGGGTAAGCATATAAGATATGCTTATATATTACATGAATCACAAATATAAAGTATCCGTTTAATTTTGTTAACTATTTTGTGATAATAATTACAGTTATTTTTTGTATTTTACCAATATAGTGATATATATATATATATATATATATATATTACAATATAGTGGGGCGGCTTTGGCTCAGAGACAGAGTGGGTCGTCGACCAATCTTGCTCGATCCCTCAGCTCCTTTAGTCCACATCCTTGAACAAGACACTGGACCCCAAATTGCACCTGATGGCTGCTCCATCGGTGTGTGGGTGTCTCAAAACTGAGTAGCAGGTGGCACCCTGAACGGTACCCTTGGCCCACAGTGTATGAATGTGTATGTGAATGGGTGAATGTCTCGTAGTGTAAAAAGTGCTTTGAGTGGCTAGTCCATTTACCATTTATTATAATTACATTTATTGATAAAGTATTTATTTATCTATAAATACTCAATACTTCCTCTTTAACCTCCATCACAACTGAGCCCTGAAAGTGGATCTTGAGTTACTTTTATTTGGTCAAAGTCTTCTTGAGGCATGAACACAAAAAACTGCATGTTTATAAATTATTCATAATACACTGTAAGGATGTGTTCATGTGTGTAATCATGTATCATTTAATATGATTGCACACTGTGTTATCCATTATTCATTAACTGTTTGTAAGCAGCTACAGAAGCCTCACAGGAGGGATTGTGGTTGTCTGTACATTAATTGAAAAACGTCCTCATATCTTCTACAGTTTAATGTGCTATGAATAATTTTTAATTGTTTGTATAACTGCTTATCATCCATAAATGTACAGCTTATTTATTGTAGTTGTTGTTTATGTTTACAGTAACATACATGCTCCCATGTCTAAATTCTCACACTACAGCTCACATTCCGGTTTGACCGTGCATGCCCGGCCTGCCCGCCACCTTGACTGACCCGTGATGCCTTGGGCTTGATGTGTTGCCATGACAACGGGCCAAATAGCCACCCATCTTGTGAACCGTGCAGGCCTCATTGGGACTTCTTCCTGAAAGTTATTTTCCTCCTTCCTCTTTTCACATCTGACAGTCTTTATCTCTGCATCTACTGTAAGTGGATTTGTGTCTGGGCTTTGTTGGAGAGCGCTGAGGAGGTTTCCTGCAACTCTTTCCCTATTATGTGGCGTATTTCTCTGAGCAGGCCCCTCTACATTATGTGGTATTATTTAGTGCATGCACTAAATTTAGCACTGCTCTTTCTTGATGTTAATGATGTAAGAAGCTGTCTCTTCTCAAACATGCAGCGCACTGTGGGCCTGTATGGGGAACGGTGCTGTAAAATAATCGAATATAGAAAGTAATATTTGAGGCTCTCCCTTGATTTGAGCCATCTTTCTTTCTGTCTGTTGTTTCAGTCTTTCTTGCACACACACACTCAGACAGGGGGCAATCTGAAATAGAGAGATGGGATTTGGGGGGGAGCTCTGGAATAAGAGGAGGGGGAAGGGTGAAAACATATCATATCATAAATGTAATACCAGCCTCCATTTTAGAAAAAAAAACCCATCTCCTTTTGCTTTCGACTTTGAGATGGATTTGATGGATAGGTGGTGGGGGTTTGTTCGATACCCATTTGCTGTGAGACCTCAAACACACCATGCACTTATAACCTGATTGCCCCCCCCCCCCAATCATCATCATCATCATCATCATCAGTGTGGCCCTGTCAAAGCAAATTGCTAAGCTGCTCACTGCTTTTTTTGGCTCAACACACTCTGATGCATTCACTCTATGGAGATGTATGATGACATCCCAAGTGAAACTGATTTCTCACACTAGGCCCTGACCTCTGCTTGACTCATGACTTTTTTATTTTCTAAATAAAAATGGACTCGTGTTTCTTAATGACAAACTTTGATTGCTTTTATTGTTTCAGTGCTACAAAGCTCATGACGTAGGACGGAAACCCCGCGTGTCTCATGATAAGATGCATGAAATCAGCACATGACACGTGTTGCATGGCAATACAACGATGGCTGCCGTCGCACATAGGCTATATACTGTAGCTACAACACTGAATAAACATGAGCTTGTACATTAAGAGCGAAAGTTCCTGTCCTGTCTCATTTCATCAGCAGTGACCCCGGGTTTTTCTTTTTTTTACACGGTCCTTGAACACACACCGAAAAGAGACTGTCCCTGAATGAAAGTCTGTGTCATTTTTTTTTTTGCTCCATACAGTCAGTGAACAATCCTGCTGTCCGTGCATTTACTCCACACCTAAGTAAACACATTTGTTGTCACTGTGTGTGGTTAGGGTCTGTTAAATTTGCATCTTATGATCTTCTTGAAAGCACTTTGGAAGTCTTTGTTGAAGTAGGCATATATGATGGGGTTGAGGAGAGAGTTGGAGTAGCCCAGCCAGTTTATGACTGCGCCCACCCAGTCGGGCATGTAGCAGCTCTCTGCACAGAAAGGCAGCACAAGTGCGACGATGAAAAAGGGCAGCCAGCAGAAGATGAAAGTTCCCATGATGATCCCGAGTGTTTTCACCGTTTTACGCTCCCTGGCCAGCGCCAGCTTTCTCTTCGCCCCCGAGTTCTTTTCATTCATGTTTTCGTAGCCCTGCGAGGAGGACTGAGGGGTGTTGGGCAGAGGCAGGTGCGTCTTTGAGTTGCTGATAACTTCTATGATCTCAAGTGACTCACCCTCCTCTCCGTGCTTCACCGCGCCGTTTACGCACGGAGAGCTGGGTTTGGACTCGTCGCTGCGCCTCCAGCCTTTGCCCCCGGCCTCCCCGTTGGTTTTCTTGTGGAAGATGGCCGGAGACACAGTCAAGCACTTTTCGGACACTTTTGTTTTCTCGGGTTTCTTCACTGTCTTCCGAATCCGAAACCGAGCAGCCCTAAATATTCGCCCGTACAGGACCAACATGAGGATGAGAGGGATGTAAAAAGCCCCAAATGTGGAGTAGATGGTGTAACCCGGGTCCTGGCTGATGATGCAGGCGTTGAGGTCCGCCCTGTCTTCGGCGCTTCTCCAGCCTAACATAGGTGGAATAGAGATGGAGAAACCAATTAGCCAAGTCACGCTTATCAAGATCGCAGCTCGCCTTGGTGTCCGTTTATTTACATAGTCAATGGGGTCTGTTATGGCCCAGTACCTGTCCAAGGCAATTGCGCACAGATGCAGGATGGATGATGTGCAACACAGTACATCCAGAGAGATGAATAAGTCACAGATCTCCTGCCCCAGTGTCCACTTGTTCAGAACCTGGTAGAGGGCTGCCATTGGCAGAACCAGCACCGATACCATGAGGTCTGTCACGGCCAGAGATCCAATCAGATAGTTAGCCACATTCTGGAGAGATCTCTCCAGGGCGATGGCTGCCACGACGCACGCATTGCCAAATATGGAGCAGAGGATGAGGGCCCCCAGGAGCAGAGAGGTGATGATCTGGTAACTCAGCTTCACATCTGGCAGAGCCCCAGACCCCGTGCCATTCTCACCCCCGTCCCAGTCGGCAACCACGTCCACCCCGCCGGGGTAACCGCTGGTCGCGTTGCTGCCGTTGCCGCTTGTTGTTATAAAATCCATACTGCGACCACACTCAGAGCGCAACTTTCCCAGAGCAGTGGGGGGACACGCCGGACAGATAAGCAGGACACAGTCAGCCCCTCAGACTGCTGCCGCTGTGCGTTTTACCGGGGTCCATCGGAGTTACCGCGTTCGTGCCGTCGCTCTCAGGACGCATGACGCAGACGTGTTTGTGAGTGTGTGTGAGGGGGGTTGTGTGTGTTGTAGCCCGGGTGTGTTGACAGCCGGGTGCGCTCACTGGTGCTGCGAATCATCTGAGCCTGGTGACGCCGTGAATTCATTTATACCAGCAGCTTTGGGTACGTCAGACCGTGTGGAGGTCGCCCTGGAGTTTTGTGCCTCAGTTCTCCTCGTTGCTCCGTTTTTCACTGCAGACAGCCGATGAGGGCGCAGAGCTCCCCTCTCCTCTTCTCTCTCCTTTATTTAAGTCTTTGGACTCACTGAATGTTACATTTTGTGGATTTTCTTTTTGTTTACAACTCAAAGGGTAGGTGTCAGTCAGGATTAACATGTCTTAACTGATTTATTACAAAAAAAGTCAAATCTGTCTGCGGGATATTCGAGGTGGAAATATCTGGAAAAAAAATCACTTCTGATGAACTTGTCGTTCAAGCCAACTTCATGAGCAAAATGCTTTTTTTCGATAAGCAAAATACATTAAATAGAAACTCAGAAACAAGTGGAAACAGGGTGTGTAAGGGCGCAACAATGCATTTGGAACCGGGATCTAGACTAAGGTAACATGCTGAGAGCTTTTGGAGCGAGAGGCAGTTTCAGGACCAGGGACAGCGCCATGACAACTCAGAGAGGAGAGCTGCTGCCATCTGCTGTCCACAGCCGGCACTGCAGCAAATGATGGACGATGTTGTATCAGTATTTTGAGTGTGAGGCAGAGTAATACACTGTGGGAAGGATGAGGCAACAAGATGGGGTTGAGCTGCCGAGGGAGATGGGGAGATGGGTGAAGCAATGAAAAGCAAACTGTGTGTGTGTGTGTGTGTGTGTGTGTGTGTGTGTGTGTGTGTGTGTGTGTGTTGAGCGAACTGATTATGTTTGAGATTGAAGGATAATTTAACCCTGCATTAAAATTAAAAGGGAAAATCTAGAACAGAACATATTTGTGACTACAAGTCAGTAGTTACGGCAATGAAATATTCCAACATTTGTATCCATAAAATATATCAAACATCGACTGCATATAAAATGGACAATGCATTACTCTTAACACTCATTATAAAATGAAGCTGGTTAGCATCGACCTCAGGCCTGGAGGCAAAACAAGCAGTGATGCCCCCATAAATTTTTCACAGGGGTGGCCACATGGGGCCACTGAAAGTCTTGGGGTGGTACACCAATAGTAAAAGCCATTAGTATATTTTAGGAATTCTATCATGCTGTTGTAGCAGCCAATATAGGCTAGTTAGAATCTAATTCATTTAGAAATTGCATACTGATTTACTTTGGTTTCTTATTTTACAGTTATGGCAGGAGTACATGGGGCGTCGACGCGACATGTTACGAAGGTGGGGCGGAGCGGGGTTGTGTGTGTGTACTGAGTTTTGCCAAGTGATAATGTGATTGTTTGTGGAAGGTTTGGACGTGAAGGCTAGATTAACTGGTAGTGAATTGATTAACTCCAGCTGTGGTACAATGAGATATTCATCTAAATCCTTTTCAAATACATTGTAATCATTTTTACACAGTTCTTTGTAATTTTTCCTCCTTGGTGGGCCGTGGAGCCACGGACAGAGAAAAAAATAGACTAACCGTGTAAAACCAGAGGAAGAGTCGTGCGATGCTAGCTTGGGCTAGTGCAACTTTCGTGGTCAGTGTAGCAGTTTCAGTTGATTTAAATAGATGCGCTCTGCTGCAGGTGTGCTGTGGGAGACTTATCACGCCTGGTTTGTGCCCCATGTATTTTTAATATTCTTGTTACTGCTTTTCTGATGTCCATAGACTATTACTGGAACAGGTAGCATTGTGAGTTCCACAACAACCCTGTTTTGATGTGTTATGTATCTGTATAGAGTGGTGCAGAGATTGTGTGTATTTGTTAGCCAACACCAGATGCAGTGTCACCCTGGTTCCCTTCACAAAATGCCAGTGGGATTTTTCCATTGGATTTTGGATTATTGCAGAAAATAAACTCTTTGGTAAACAAAAGTTTATATTTATTCAAGATAATCTTAACAAATGAGCACACTTCTCCACGCCCATTGAACTTCACTGACTCTGCTGCTGCTGTTAGCTTCAAAATTAAAATGAGTTTAATACTAACTAAACTCCTTTAGCCACATTTAACACCAAAGTAAAATTTTCAGTAGAAGCTGAGTCACAGTCACACATGGATGTGTTTTATCAGAGGGCAGAAGTTTGAAGATTTTGCCTGAGTGTGTAATGTTAACTAACTAATGCCTGTCACAAGCTGCTCTTAATATTTAAAGTGGATTCACTTAGTAAATAAGCACATACAGTACAAGAACATGGCTCAGCCCTATACTGACTGCTTCTGTCATGTTCCTTTAAACCCTTATGATGTAAGTGTCCAACAAACTACCAGAAATATCAATATCAAATTATTTATTTACAGAGGCAGATTAATAAAAGACTGTAACAACAAAGAACAATACTTATAGAGCAGAACTGCAGGAGGTGGAGGAGGACTTCTCTTTAGGGCAGAGAGTCTGGCAGCTGTCTTCAGTGCTACCTGTCAAGTCAGCGCTGGCTGACCTGAAGGCCTCCTCAAAATGTTCTGGTGGAGCTGGGTGGATCTTCTGCCTCCAACTGTCCACTGAAACATCTCTTTCACTGCAGCTTTTTCCTCTTGCCCTTGGATTGTCTTCCCAGTGTTCTCAGTGACGGAGAACCTCTCACCTCCTCATCAAGGTCAATCATGAGTTTGGCCAGCAGTTGGCTCTGTGGCTGATGGATCTCAACCACTTGCAGAGCTGATGGGGGTGAGCTGGCAGAGGGTGGAGATGGAACGATGTCCCTGATCTCCTCTGGTGTGACATCATTGTCCTCAGTAAGGACCTCAACAACCGTGGCCTCTGGTGTCCTGACAGCCTCAGTGGACTCTGATGTCTGGACAGCCTCAGTGGGCTCTGGTGTCCTGACAGCCTCAGTGGACTCTGGTGTCCTGACAGCCTCAGTGGGCTCTGGTGTCCTGACAGCCTCAGTGGGCTCTGGTGTCCTGATAGCCTCAGTGGGCTCTGGTGTCCTGATAGCCTCAGTGGGATCTGGTGTCCTGACAGCCTCAGTGGGCTCTGGTGTCCTGACAGCCTCAGTGGACTCTGGTGTCCTGACAGCCTCAGTGGGCTCTGGTGTCCTGA